CTTCAGAGCAAAGTCTATGACTAGGGTAAGGACGGTCACTCTGTACGGATAAAGGCATTGATTCTCCAAGGAGATATGACAGTCTTGATGCCCAAACCTCTCCCAGCAGAGCCTCTAAACCCACTCTGACGGCAGTGGGGGAGAGGGGGCTCTGCACTTGGAGGGAGTGAGGGAGAGGGTCTGCCCCGCAGGCTCTCACCTTTCCGGTGGATTCGATGCCTCTGATGACACACAGGTATAGGACTGCCCAGCAGGCCGCCAAGCAGACCAGCAGCCGCCACTGGATGGAGCCGCTGTAGTCGATGTCGGCCGTGATGTTCAGCGTCTGCCGGTACCAGAAGTAGCTGACGGAGCTGCTGCCCTGGCACTCCTCCACGAACCCTGAAACCAGGAGGTCTGGTCACGGGGCTGGCCTCGGGGCTCAGGTGGGATTTGGGCTTTGCATCCTCCGCCCAGGAATGAGACTGTGCATAATGCACCCTGGACCGGTGCCCTCCTCTGCCCAGGGCGCCCAGCATGGCCAATGGGGTGGACACAGGGAGCCTCCAGGCCTGACTTACCGTCAGGCACCCAGGGTCGGCATGGTTCAGAATGAGTGAAACGCAAGCTCATACCAACCAGAGGTGGGAGGGGAGAACGTGAGCAAACTGCTGAAAACAATGACCGTTTCCCATGTGGCCGAGATCTAGTCAGATCCAGCACTAGGCCGGGGTCTGGACCTAACAACCTAATTCAGCCAACGCCACCATCCCCTGCTAATCCTCTCATCACTGGGCCCAGCGTGGCTCTGAGCCCACAGCGGAGCGTGTCTGTGGGCCCCTGGGCCCAGCAGTGAGCAGAGACACAGGAGAAGAGAATCGGAGTTCAGACGCGCTATTTCAGGGTGACCATGAGGGGCTCCGCACGAAGGCAGGGCGTGAACTCCCCTGGTCCCGGGCACTACCTGTCTGGTTGAGGTTCAGCGGGCAGGTGCTCCAGGGCAGCGGGTGCTGGAAGGAGTTGAGGAGGTACCACAGCACCCAGGTCAGGACGGTGTTGTAGTAGAGACTGATCAGGAAGGACGCGGTGAAGCAGCCCAGCCCTGTGGGCACACGACGGACCGTCACCGTCCTCCCTGTTACAGACTGTCTTGACTCACCTTCCGCCATTTCTGCTGCCCCACATCGGGCCGCAGGACACTTCATTTTATGAAGCCCTTTTCAGCCCCTTCATCCATGCCCACGAGCTTCCGGGGCACGCGGGCTCAGCGTGTACACAGGCCCACAGGGCTCAAGACACGGGACAGCCTGCCGCTGCTTTGTGGGGCCAGCCTGTTGCCTCCTCCTGCACCCTGAGCTCACTCCATGCAACACCCTCCACCCAAGTCGTTCCTCAGGGGAACCGAATGGGGCCTCCTCGGAGTGTGACTGGGGGTGGCTCCCACAGGGACACTGCTGCCGGGGTCTCCCTGCACCTTTATACCAGGTCCCTCCTTTGCCTGCAGGTTCTGAATCACAAGCAAACCCACCACGCCTTTGGAACAGCAGCCCTCACCCTGTCCCTCCCCTGCAGCTGTGGGCAGGGTCCCAGAAAGGCAGCGTACCGACTCCGCCCAGGTAGGGGGAGATGGCCTTCCACACCCCGACGCTGCCTCTGCGCAGGCGCTGGCCGATGGCGAGCTCGATGTGGAACAGCGGGATCCCCTCGAAGGCCAGGGCGATGAGGTAGGGGATGAGGAAGGCCCCTGCAAGGATGCTGCGGTCAGCAGGGCATGGCACCTGGGCAGGACGATCACCGCAGCCTCCCGGAGAGGGGACGGAGCGCACGTGGGGCCCGGTGCTGCTGTCTTAAATCACTTGGCCGCATCCAGCTTGTCAGTGCTTTAGAGGCGCTTTCATCAGCAAATGAGCTGTTCTGTTCCTACTGAGACCCCGTGACCCCTGGTGACCGGCTCCCTCGGGCCATGGAGCTGCCCCATTCACACAGAATTCTGGGGAAGGTCAGTGCCTCAGATTGTCTGCCCAGCTGTGCCCCGTGTTGGGGTGGGACCTGTCTCTCTGTCCCTCGCCAGCCATGCAGTGGAAGGAGCGGACAGAAAGCTTGGTCCTGGTGGCTGAGCCGTGTGAGAGAAGCCCTGGCCTCTCCCAGAGCCACAGACCCAGGCACCCAGCACAATCAGGACCTGCAGCCTCTGCCTGCAAGGCCTGCAGACCAGGCCGGCTCTCCCACCCCAGACCCTGGGCCTCCCCGGGCTGTCGGGAGAATGGTGTTGTGAGCTTTCCGAGGGGCCTGGGGGAGGCTTACTGTCGGGAGACACAAGGCTCAAGGTGCTGCCTTGCCCCAAACCCCCATAAAGGTTCTGACACCTCTGGGGGCGAGTGACAGGCAAGTTTCCTCCATCTCGTCTACATTTTCAAAAATTTCTACATGCCGTGAACCTTCTTATATTCAGAAAAAATAAGCAAACTTTACAGAACTGTTGCCCTCATAACCAGGCAAGCCACGTCAAGCAGTGCCTTTGTCGGCTCTGCTCTGCTCTGCTCTGCGGAGTGGGGCCACGGAGCTCCCGCAGAACCCAGACCTTCCTGCCCGTTTCCCTCAGACTCAGCCCTGTCCCCTGGCTCCCTGTGGCCACCAGGACAGCCACCTGTTTGCCCTGGAAGTGGGAAAGGATGGCTTCTGACCAGAAAGCGTGGGGGGAGAGCTCACCCACCCGCCCACCCACAGACTTTCCTTCAACCCTCGCTTCCGAGGCAGGAAGGGCCAGAGGAATTGCCCAAAGAAATGCTCCCCACATTTCCAACCAGAGACCTCCTGGGGCCTGGTGATCACCTCGAGGGACCCTCTGGGAGCCCTCAAGTCGCTCAGGAGCAGAGGTGCCTGGAAGGCAAGTGGACCTGGCATGGAGGCAAGACAACCAGAGGGTGGGGCCCCAGAGAAGAATGAGCCCAGGCTGGGAAGTCCCTGCTCATCATGTCGGGGGACAAAATCTGGAGCTGATCCAGGACGGCTGCCCAGGGTGGTTCATGCCTGTCTGTGCCCTCAAGTCCTCACGCACGTTCACGCTGCGCCAAGAGAGACAAGCTCACGGCTTTAGTCGTGTCCTTCTATCAATAAAATGACTCTACTGCCCTGGCTGGTAGCTCAGCTGATTACAGCATCGTCCGGATATGCCAAGGTTGCAGGCTTGATCCCCAGTCAGGGCACATACAAGAATCAACCAATGAGTGCTTAAATAATGCAACAACAACCCCCCCTTCCTTTCTCTAAAAATCAATTTAAAAAAAGAGAGAGAGACTCTAACAGGCTGCATTTCCCCATAGACCCGCAGCCTCCTGTGGAGACCCGCTGTCTTAGGGATGCTCAAAGCCCAACCTCTTTCGAGGAGAGCAAGGAGCTGACAGCGCAAAGACTCAGGAACCAAAGGCCTGGCAAGTCTGACACAGGGGCAACCCCAAGGCAAGGCTGGGCAGGAGCAGTGTTGGGAGGGTTCGCCTGGGTCCCAAGAGCTCTGATGCCCTCAGACAGTTTCTCCCTGGGCCATGGTGTAGCACTCTTTCCGGAAGGACCACTCCCACCCGGCAGGAACCAGTGACGACCCAGGCCGAGGTGCGACCGTTCCCCTTCTCCTGTTTGAGGATGCGGCTGGCACAGGCTCACCTCCCCCGTGGCTCTGGCACAGGTACGGGAACCTCCAGATGTTGCCCAGGCCCACAGCAAACCCCACACAGCTCAGGAGATACTGGAGCTTGTTGTCCCACTTGGGCCTCTCATCCTCGCTGCTGTCCCCCGGTAGGTCTGGTCCCGGGGCGCTCGCCATGCCCGGTCTCTGGAACCCTGGAGACTCAATGCTCTGGCCTCGGCTGGGCCTTGAAGCAAGGAGCAGTCTCTCCTTCAGGTGTATTTTTTTTGTTATTTAAAGGAAAACCGTAGACCCAGTTAATTGCTAACTCAGCCAGGCCCTGCTCTGGCACGCAGCCCCTCCCTGGCCCCCTCCCATCTCGTACGCTCGGTGCTGACAGCCCACAGGTGCCACCACCAATGAACCATTTCCAACAAGGGCCCCTGTTCCCTGCGGGGACACTCAGGGGCCCCAAGACTGGGGCACACTTGGCTATCTTGATTGTGAGATCATCGTCTAAGAAATACTACAGAGAGCCATGCACCCAGTTCCCCCGATGGCAACATCTTGCAAATATCTTGTCAACATCACAATGGGATGTTGATGTCCATATGTCAGCTCAGGACCTGTCCATCACCAGAGGGTCCCTCCTGTCTGTTTTTCTTTCTTTTTTAAATATATTTTTATTGATTTCAGAGAGGAAGGGAGAAGGCGAAAGAGATAGAAACATCAATGATAAGAGAGAATCATTGATTGGCTGCCGCCCGCACACCACCCACTGGGGTTCGAGCCCGCAACCCGGGCACGCGCCCCCGACCGGAATCAAACCTGGAACCCTTCAGTCCGTAGGCCGACGCTCCATCCACTGAGCAAACCAGCTAGGGCACCTCCTGTCTCTTCTTATGGACACAGCAACCATCCTTTCACTTCTACCCTCTCCCTAACCCCTGACACCTCTAATCTATAGTTGTCATTTCAACAATGTTATATAAATGGAATCACACAGTGGTGACCTTTGGGGTCAGGGCTGGGGGTGGAGTAGGATGGGCTTCCTCCTCTTAGCCCTGCAGCTTCCCCCCACGCTCAGCACCCAGTGCCACCCTCAACATCCACTGCTGTCCTCAGGCAGCAGGTGGGCAGGGTGACACCCACTGCACACAGGGCCACCCCACCCACCACACCTGTGCTCCGTGGACACCAGGCCGTGGCTTCTTCAGAGGAAGCCCTGGAAACAGAACCCCAGCTCTGCACCATCCTTTCAGATGGCTCTGCTGCTCCCTCTGCTCATCCCTCTACATTTGAACAACAGTTAGGCTGAGAATATGAAATACAATGATTTATTTATAAACTTTATGCTCATAAAACCTGCATGTCTAACAATTTGCAAAGCTAGCACATCTGTAAAATGAGGCACTCATAGGGGGCAGGAACTGATGGGATTAGCCCACCCAGTCTCTCCTCTCCTGCACCCCCGGATGCTGATGAGCATTTCCCAATCAAGGGTCAGAACTTTGTGGAGAGAAGGAGGTGAGGTCCCACAGAGGCCAGTGGCACCTGGTGGTGGAGACCAGAGCGTGGTGGGGCCTGTGGGCCTCCTGGGCAGGGATGCACTAATGTGGCCTGGGGTGGAGAGCTGTGAGCAGGCCTCCCATTCCACCTCTGGAGGTTTCTATAGATCATGGTGGTCAGGTGACTGGCCGTGTAAGAGGACTGCAGACATGCCGAGGTGTTTGGAGGTTTTCAGCCGGGTTTCAGGGCTGAAATCGGTGGTCGCTGTTGCACAGGAGGCGCTGGGAGAGGGGAGCGTGCAGTGGGGCATCTCCCGTGGACGGATGGGATGTGACAGCAGGTCCCACCCTCCACTCAGCTCTCCCGAACCTGCCCAGAGAACTCTCAAAAAGTCCACTTTAGCTTAAACTTCCAGATGTTTCCACGGGAAATGGAAGTGACCAGTTCATTGAAATAAACACCCCAAGTGCCAAGTGACTTTGGCTGAGGTTGAATGTTGCATCCATGATGGGGCGGAGACCTTCCCTTCACTAAGTAGCCCCAAGTGGACGGTCTGGCAGGGGCTCACGGTCCCTGACATTGCTCAGGACATAGGAGCTGTGCTCAACCGCAGTGACCAAGCTGAGTTACCCTATAACCCATCTTTTCCAACATCGGGCTAAAAATTCACACAGTTAATGTCCTCTTAAAAAAACACAAAGGGTGTTTCTGCCTTCAATTATGCCAAGTTGAGTTTTATTTAACTGTCATCTATTTGTGGCAGCCAGAAGCAATAATTAAATGGGTTAATATTTATTAAGCTGGAACGTTGCCAAGACTCGGGACTCTCTGCCGGCTGGGTCTCGCTGGCCTAGGGGCCTGAGGCCTCTTGCAGGCGGGGTAAAATTGCAACATTCCTGCAGGAGCTCCTAGGTCACAGGGTGGACAGCGAAGGGACGGGGCGGGGCAACAAGACTGTTCCAAGGAGCCAAGACAGCAACACATTCCCGTCTCCTGCTGTCGCTTTTGACTGACTTTCCCTTGGAAGGCAGGGCAGGACCTGAGCATAGGCCCCACCACATCCGTGACACAGGGAACCAAGAGGACAGCTGGGCCCCACGTGGGAGACATGTATGCTGCAGGACAACATGTATGTGTACATATGTGCACAGACATGCCCAGAGAACATTATACATGCCACATACATAACCACACATTTATAAATACACAACTAGCATGTGCACACACACATATGAACCAACACATATATTTATGCACACATGTACACATGCTTACCCGCATGCACATTTGTATGTATTCATATACATATATATGTATGTGCTGACACGTGTGTACCACTCGTGCATATGTACACAAAATCATATAGGCACATACACAGAAGCACATGTATACACACTCACATGTGCACGCATACTCATGTGCATGTGACTTACACACATGTACACATATACATATAATGTACGTACATGCATTATACATACTCTCATCTATGTGCACACTCACACAGGTGCATACCTGTATGAACACATGCATTTATGTATATATATACATATACCCATGTGCACACGCACATGCTCACACATGCATCTGTACATGCACACATGCAGCCGTGGGCGGGGCACTCAGTACTTCAGGTCCCCATTTATGGAGGCTGTGGACATGGTGCTGACCAGCCCCTGCTGGCTTTCTTGCTTCTGGCAGCGGTTCCTGATGAGCTTGTAGATGGCAAAGCAAGGGATGCTGAGGCAGGGCACGCCAGCAACGATAACCACCACGCCATATGCCCAGCTTGGGTATGGGACCTTCTCAGATTTGGGAAATTCCTCCTGTGGAGAGAGCAACCACATGGTGAACAGACACAAAGACAGCCAGCAAGGTCTCCTTCAGGGGCACAGTGCCCCTTCTCCCCAAGATTCTCACCTCCTGGCCCTTGTGGGGGAGGGAAGGGAGACCTAAGGCTCCTCCCACACACACCTGCTTCCCACACCTCCCCCACCTCCTCTGTCTTCCATGCCTCCCTTACTTCCTCTGCCCCCACACCTTCCCCACATCCCTTTCCCCCCATGTGTCCCCCATCTCCTCTGCCTCCACATGCCTCCTCACGGGGGACATGCCCCCCACCCCGGCCAGCAGTCCCTGTACGCTCACATAGGCAGGGTCCCAGACGCTGTATATCAGCTCCTTATTGACGTTGATCACGAAGAAGAACAGGAAGATGACCAGCATGAGCAGCGGGCTGACCACTCGCCACGTGATTTGCCAGAAGATGTTGGGCTTGTGGCCGATCATAAACTCGATGTCCTTGTTGAACCTGGAAGCAGAGGCCGGAAGGGAGCCATCAGCTGGTGGACATCCTGGGCCTTTAATGCCACCAAAGCAGAGGGCAGGGCAGCCTCTCCATACAGACACGCGGTACCATCCTACAGTGCTGCCCCTGCCTTTCGCCGTCACAGCTCTAGCCGTCCTCTGAGCAAAGGCTCACTTCCCTGGGAAGCCGCCGGCAGTGGTAGCCTCGCCGGAGGACTTTGGAAACCTCCCTATAGAGCCACAGCCCAGGTGCTCCGACTTGTGGACTCACACAGCCTGGGCAGCCACTCTTGCAAATAAGGGTTAACACTTCTGGGGGAAATGGAGGAAGGAAACTTCAGCCCACGTCCTCAGCCGGGCAGCGGCCCTGACCTTGGAGGCCCCACCATCCCCTGCCCAAGTTGTGCCGAACTCTCTTCTGCACAAAATACTTTGTTATCTACAGAAATCAGAACAGAGTGAACTGTCCAGGACCCCTGTGATTCCACTTCTGGAGAAGGACAGGTGCCCAGGCCTGTTCCCAGCAGAGTCTGGGAGTGTGGTGACGAGTCTCTTCAGCTTGGGGCCATGCCTGGCTCTCAGCCTCCCGCTCATATGGCCTCCTTGAGGCCGAGTTGCCTGGGACCCCCGGCAGCGAGTGTCTGACTTCTAAGTGTCCTTGGCCATTCGCAGAGGACATGCATGCATCAGGCCAGTCATGCCTGCTTCACATCAGCAGCACCCACACGACAACGTCGTGCACTTCCATTTAAGCCTCCTTCCCAAGCACGTGCTGAGGTTACGGCAGTGAGTCCGCCGCACGCTCCTCAGCGTCTCCGTGACTGCCACCCAGCAGTGTGCATTGTGTGGTTGAGTCAGGCCTCCTGCGCGTGTGCCCTTACACACACGTGTCGTGGTGACGCAGAACAGGGTTCGTAAAGTGGGATCCCCCACCCCCGACGGCTTGTGCATGTTGTCTTATTTCTAAAGTTGTGGCGAGTCCAGCTCCTGTCAAGGAGATGGTGCCGTTTTCTGGGCCCCTCACATCGAGGATAACGGAGTGATACCCCGAGTATTTGGCCAAGAGCATGGCTGGAAGGGCTGCACAGCCCCCTTCTTTGTCTGAGTGTCTGTCTGGCTGCAGAGCCCTCTCTCCCCCGAGAAAGGCCTAGAGCACACCCACCACAGGGCTTCCCTGGCCACGGATCCCCAGTTGACATAAAACACCCAGCGCCTGGATCACGGGGACACCCCTTACCCACAGCTAGTGTCT